TCTCTCCTTCATATCGACTACGCACACTCACACGCATTCCTCCCATTCATTCTACGAGTCTATGGTACAGTCTAGACGTACTTGCGGCACCTCTTCACCCACCACGTCAATTACGTCTCACGCCACGCCCACATAGTACACCACCATCCGGCCGCAATGCTGCACTGCACGAAAACCAGCTCTCGAGAGTCACTGGCAGCATGAACAGCTACGCCCGTGCCCTTGAAGTCGGCCCTTGGCCAAACAACAGTACCACCCATCGCGCGGCAATGATCCCTCCTCTACTTTTACGGTGTGAGTGTTCAAGAGACAACAAGCATGTATGCACATGGAGGCAGGCAGCCCTAGTCGTGGCAAAGGCGCAACCATTTCACACTTTCATTCGTAACACAGACACAGCAGTTACACCATACCAGGGAGGAAGGGACGCTGAACGCCAAGAAATCGCCAGGAACTGCACTTCTGTTTTGCTGCACCGCGTACGTACGTCCATCGGAAAAAATATAACACAACACTCTTCATTCACGTGCAGGCACACGCCATACCAAACAAATTCTGTAATATTTTCTGTGAAAACGGCGCGGAAACGGACACTCAACATCGAATGGAACGGGTACCATCGCCCTCTACAGGCCAACTCAACACACGCAGCTAAACACCGTCATCTGCACACGCCATAAAAAAAAAACAACAACAACCAAGTCAAGGGGAAGACCACAAACGTCAACTGCTGGAGAAACTGACGCGAATGAAATGACCGGCGCAATACCCGCGGCAAGCGGTGTTGTTGAGGTCCACCGGTTCCATCCATTCCCGACCAATCGGATTTTCTCCCATCGACCACCACCCGCGACGTTTCCACGGCATGTGGTGCCGGACAAGAATTAACTCCGTCTTCTGTTCGATGCTCTCTGTGTCTGTCTCAGGAGAAGCCAGAGGCAGTAGCTATTTGGGCGAAAGGGAGGCCGGTTGCCAAGAGTTGGAGAGATATCTACGGACGCCTATATCTCCTCCTCCACTATACCGTACCGCCATCAACAATAACAGGATACATTGGACAACATACGCGTCAATGTGGCTCTAGGTTGCTGCTGTGCTCTGCCCTGCCCGTCCCCCGCAATCTCACACAACAAGTGGCCTGCATGGAATCATACTTCCGCGGTACCACTAAGTCAGCGTAGTACATACTATACACCCAAGAACCGGAAAACTGACCTAAAGTACTCGTAAAAAAACGCATGCACACATGTTCCCACGCGTCTCAACCAACGGACGGTCGAAACGCACGGAGCAAACAGACACCCACCCAGAACATAATAATCTCAGGCAGAAAAGGAGCGATAGAGATAACCTTCCACAAGAAACATAAGTCTAGCGTGCGATGCACACAACACAGGATAACAGCAGTTGCCTGGAACGACACACAGTAGAGACATGGGCAAGGAAACAGCCAATCCGCGAAGAGCCCCGCTTTCGCGCATCGATCCTATCAACCGGTGCAAAAACAAGCCGTGGCTTGACCAATCTCCAGGAGAAACCCATTCCCACTCCACGCACCATCAGCCCAAGTTCCACAACGAACTCCACCAAAGGGATACAGCAGGAACCATCCACCACTCAACATCGCGCGGAACGTTACATGACCGAAAGCTGTTTCGCATCGTCCACCACCGCGCCAAGAAAAAACACATTTCCAGGTATAAAACTCTCTACGACGTCGAGCATGCCCTTGCGGTACGCCATAACCTGCAACCGGAGACGACGCCTGCCTGCTGCTATAAAACGATTAGTGTCGTCGCGGAGCGCAGTTGCCTGTCCGTTCAAGGCTCTAGGAAAAGCGTCAACGACCAAAACTTGCCGGGCTGAAGGGCGACCAACAAACTAGCATGCGCAGAAGAAACAAATGATCATCAAGTACAACCACCACCCTAATCAATCAAACCGTGAAATAATTCGATCCCCCCCCGCCCCGGTAAAATTGTTCTAAAGGCGGCTTGCTTCGATCATGAATAGTAAAACGATAGTCACGCACATGCACACACGTCACCAGTACTCAATGCTCGGGGGGGGGATTTCACAGCCTACCCAACCCGGAGATTCAGAAAACTTTAAAACAATTCCTATGCAGGGCGTTTTTCACTCAGGAGAGGGGTGCCTCATGATATCCCACGCAACCGACAACAACCCGTCGCCTTTTTCTGGCAGAAGAGTGTGCACACGTAAGACCAGACCCAATCCATAATCAAATGACTGATTCACACCGAACAAGTGCAATAGAAACAAAACAAAACAAAACAAGAATTGGCCCGCGCGGTGTTCAGCAACGGCGGCCGCCACCGCAAACGAAGCACACCAACTAGTAGTACCCCGCTACGTGAAACCGTCGTTTTTTTATTGTCTTGGTGGTACCACTAACCTGCCGCTCATTCCCGACTCAACTCCAACCCACAAGGCAGCCTCAAGACCCCCACCACAACACGCCCGGCAAACAACCAAACCCTTCCCCACGACAAGCAACTGCGAACAGACAGACAGAGTTTTCACCATCACCGCACATATTATACTCCTGCTACCGCACACCACCACCGCTATGCTACGGCGTTTTTTTCTCGCGTATCGCTACAAAATTTACTTCACATTCGTTTGTCATCCCCCCCCCCCCCCCCCTCGACC